TGTGCTGCGGCAGACGCAGGCGCCCGGGTCCCGCGGGTCGCCCCCGGCCTGCCCCGGGGAAGCTGGCGGCCGGGCCTTCCCCAGGGGGGATGCTCGGGGGCTCTGAGGCTCGCAGCATCACTGGCTCTAGAGACACAAGCGCGCACATCCACTCTGCCCCTTCCTTGAGGGTGCCGGTCGCTCCTGGTCACCCCCCCCCCCCGCGACTTGTCACTGTCACGCTACGGGCCCCAGCACGTGTGCACACTCCCGGCCCCGCAACTCCTCGCAGCTCTCCCCGTGTCAGCGGCCCCTGAGCCCTGGCCACACCGGGGGGCTCCCGGCTTCCCTGCGCACTCGGGGGCGGCGAGCTCCGAGGACTGCCCCGGGAGCCCGAGCCCGAGCCCGAGCCGGCCTGCACCGCACGAGCTGCTCCGAGTCCCCTAGAAGCAAATCACAATAATACTGATCGTGACGAGGGGCAAGGGGGTTGCGTGCGGCACGTGTTGCCGGCTCCGGGGCTGGGGTGCGCACAGGTCCCAGTGACTGCGATCAAACGGATCAAAGGTGATCTGGGCTGCCAAAAGATCCCCCCCGCCCCCATCTCTCTCTTCTTCCCCCCCCCGAGGGCTTATGGGGCGCTTCAGCTGGCGGATCGGTTGGGTCCCTCGGAGGCTGCCTTCCCACAAGCCCGAGCCGCTGCTTTTTTCTTTTTTCTTTTTTTTAATCAAATGAATTAAAATTCATAAAGAGCCCCCAACCCTGCGGAGACGCGTCCTAGAGAAATGAACCTCTGCCCCTTGAACCTGCCCAGTGACACAGTTAATCTGTGGGAATCCAGCCTGCTAAGGCCACTGTAGCGCTTCTCTAAGGCCCGTTTTCCTATTTTTTTTTTCCTGTTGTTGTTCAATTAGCCCCAGTGATTTATTCAATGTATGCATGAGAGGACATTAATATGCGGTGGCAGTTCCCACAAACAATATTCCTCTCAGGCTCTCTGCAGCCATAGCATGCATCCATTGGCAAAGAAAAAAAGGCAAGACATGGAAAATTAGGTTCTATCATCTTTCTTCTTGCTCTCTCCCTCTCGGACACTGCCCCGCGTTGTAAGGGCAAGGGGGAGAATACCGTGTCCCCTCAGGGAGCTGGGCACTGAAGGCTTTGGATTCAGGCTCCCGGCCCTGGCAGGCTGCTGTATCAGGAGCTGTCTGTGACAATGCAGCTGATGTGTCTGGGACTGCAAGGGAGGAGGGGAGGAAGGATTTGGTTTGCAAGTTACTGTATTTGCTTTTCATTTTTCCCACACTCTGTTCTCCACCGATTTGTTTTCCAAACGTGCCTGGTGTCGTTCCTGCACAAGTAGCTCCCTATTGTTGGGAAGAGGAGGAGAGATGATTTTTTTTTTTTTTTGAAAGAAGGATTTAAAGTTAAATCCGCGGTTCGCACTTTTGAAAGGAACAATCCTCCGACTTCCAGGCTGCTGCTGCTGCTTTCTGTTTGCAGCTTCTTCCTCCCACCCCGAGGCAATAGCTGGCAAACTGCAATAGCCACGGCTAACCTGCCGTGGCTGCAATTTACTTGGATAAATGATTGCCATCCACTTTGGACTTTAAAGCAACTAATTGCTTAGCTGTCGAGATTGCAACAGAGCTAACCCTGGTCTAGTGGCACTATCGGGGTGGGGACAGTGCTACTTGACCCCCTGTGGGCATCTGCTGCTGCCACTGAGTTAAGGCCATTGTCGTGCCCTGAAATGCCAGAACAAGCAAACTGTGCAGTTGAGGAGGCGAGAAGAGAGGATCTGGGTGGGGGGACCAGCTTTCAGGTGCCGGTTGGTTTAGAAAGACTTGGAGAGTCTTTCAATGAAGGCTGCCCTCTTCCCAGCCCCCAGTTAATTAAGTCAGAGGGAGACAGGGACAGAGACATTTCCACTCAGTGGGCCCCTGTGCCGCTGCATCAATAACTTTATCTTATCAGCGCATCCACAGTGGCTGAGCAAGGGAGACGTTTCAAAGGGGGGGGGGAAGGGGTTGCTTTGGGAGGAAAGCATAGGACAGAGCCTTCACATAAGTAGCCTTTGAAGGGGAAAAGGAAATAGCGTGAAACGTGCCCCCCACTCTTGAATGTCCACCCTCCCACGGTTTGCCTCTGTGGCTGACTGTAGGCAAGTGGCATCAGCGAGCCCCAGCCAGGCTGGGCTTGCAAGTAGCACGTGAGAGCTGCTTTCAGCATCTAGCAAGGGAACGTCAATCCCATCCAACTGTGGGACCTTGACAGGGTGGGAGCAGATCGTGTGAGGTGACCCGTGGGAGCACGGCTTAGAGCTGGGTTTCTCACTGGGGTGCAGAGAGTGGAGAAAGGGCCACAAGCCCAAGTTTCTGCAAGGGGGAGGGATAAACCCAAGTTCCAAAATCATCATTAACCCCGAGTGCTGCGGGGAGAAGAGGAGTTTGGAAGCTGTTTAGCTGCAGCACCCCCTTCTTTAACGTGCAGCAAACTTCTGGGCAGAGAAGGCTTCAACACGACGTTAGAGAAGCAAAGTCCCTCAAAGAAATGCCATTTCAATGATTTTAATAAGCAAAATAGGAAACAATTTTAATAACCAAAAACAGAAACCAGTCTGAATAAAACTACAATAGACCAGGTTTTTAATATTTTTCATATCATAAGCAGGATTTGAAATTGATCCCTTCAGAACTTTACATGAAATAAAAACCATTTTTTCCGCTGCTGCAATGTTTTGATTTCAACACAGTTGAATCAGTAAAAACCAAAGATCGTTTTCTGATGCATGACTAATATCCACAATATTTAAAACTGCAAGCACCATGCTGTTCATTACAATCTTGTTATTACTGTTAATTTATAAACTAATACAAACTTAAAATGCATCCGGCCAGCAGTGCCAGCGATCCTAAAAGGAAACTAAAAAATACGTTTTCATTTTGGTATTTTTGTCAGTGCAACGTAAAATCCTTTTACTGACCTGCAGGAGGAAAAAAAAAAAGTAATAAAAACACCCATAACACTCCAAACTACTACTATATAACTGCAAAGAAATGTTGGCTAAAACTTTCACTCACTGCATGGGAAGCAGAGAAGCAGGTTACAAATCGTTGCAAAAGAATACACTTAAAAGTTGCGGTATGTCTCTCTTCTTGAAAAAGACGTCTGAGTTTTCTATACCTTCTCCTCATTCCTCCTTGCCCTCACCCTGGAGAAACCTAACTGAACTCATGAGACACGGCTGTGCTTAGCTGGCAACTGACTCGTGTCGTCGCGGGTTTGGAAAGCCAGAAGCAGTTGTTTCTTAAAAGAAAACAAGTTCTTGTAAAACTCTTTGTTTCCTGAGTGTATGATCAGAGAGAGGAGAATCTAGTCAGACCTAACCACGACAGGCTGATCATTGTCCTGAAGGCAAGACGAGCTTCACTGCCACTTCAACCGTGGAGCTGGGGGAGAAACTGCTGGGACTCTAGCCTTTCCTTGTAAGTTTGGGTTTGTCAATGCAGTTGAGTCGCTTACTTTTGCTGCCCCAACAAACAAAAAACCAAAATGAAAACTGGGGGGGGGAGGGGGAATTACAACTGAAAAGTGCACCAAATATACAGAGTTGATTTTTTTTTTTCTGAATGCAAATGCAAAATGCCCGTAACTTTTATTATCTCTTTACTTTTTAATAACAAACAAACCGTATAACCAGCCTGCTGAAATGTTATTTTGTTTTCCTGTGCGGTTGGATGTGGCAGGTATTTACAAGCTAACAACCATAACAGAAAACGAGAGAGAGAACCCACGAACAGAACTGCGCGCGTAGTAGTTTTGATAACTTGTGATGCTTTTTTTTTTTTCTTATCAATGAAACGAACAAAACAAAAAGCTATGGTCGATGATCAACAACATGCTAAAGTTAAACAAGAAAATGGTACAAAATAGAAATTATTACCATACATGTCCAGCATGCAGGATTAATATTTTTAATGCAGATTTTCGTATTTTTTTCTATATAATCAAGCAGGCAATAAAACTGATGAGTGTTTTTTTTTTCGGTTTTTTTCTCGGAATGTCCCATCTGAGTCCTGTAACTATTCATCAAAGCAGGCAATATATGAGGAGTTTGCATATATTGTCCTTTATTGATTTCTCCTTTCCAAGCAGGTAAATTGTGCATGAGATGTTGCTTTTTGCATGTCTCCTCTCTTTGCTTTACTCCCAAGCAGGCAGTATGTTAGAGATGGCTTGTGCATTGTCCCTTTTGCATCTAAGCGTCCACAAGGCTCTGAAAGCAAGCGATCTCTGCAAACGCTTTCCATGTCCTCTCTTCCTTTACCTTTCTCTCTAAGTGGCAAACTACGGATGAAAAGTTCACGCCTTTACCTCTCTCCCACCCACCCCCAGTCTACTTTTTCACAGCTAATCTAGAAGACAGGATGCTGCAAGTATTAAGTCTCTCTCTCTCTTTCTCTCTAGTCAAGCAGACAGATGGATGGAGATGTCAGAGGATGGGAGAAAGGGGAAAGTGGGGAGGGGGGTCTTTGTGTTTGTTTAAGGACTCACATGAAGAACTCGGGAGATGATGGGTTGTCACTGGTGGATCCGGCCTCTCTGAAGCCATTGCTGGCAAGTTTCTCGCACTTGAGCTTGTAGGCGTCTCTTTCTCTGGCCAGCCGGGTCACCTCTTGCTTGAGCTGTTCCACCTGCTGGATCAGCTGGGTCTTTTCGTTCTCCAGGTGGTGTTTCTGCTGGACTCGCTTATACCTGCAGGACTGGGCATAGCCCCTGTTCTTCAAGGTCCTCCTCTTCTGCTTGAGGCGGATCACCTCGTCCTTGGTGAAGCCCCGCAGGTGCCTGTTGAGCTCCCGCACCGACATGGAGACCAGCTGGTCGTCCGAGAACCGGTCCTCCACGCTGCTGGAGGCCGGGTGCTGCTGGTGCGCGGTCTGTAGCTGCTGGGAGGAGCTGGAGGAGGTGGAAGGGGTGGGAGATGCCTGGTGGTGGTGGTGGTGGTGGTGTGGGTGCCCGCCGTTGGCCAGGTCTTCGTGGGTGACCCCCGCGTACTGGTGGTGGTGGTGCTGGTGGTGGTGGTGATGGTGGTGGTGGGCCCGGAAGCTCTCGAAGCCTTGCAGCTGCTGGGGCACTTGGTGGGACCCGATGAGCGCTTCCACCGCGTCCTCGGGGGTGAGGTTCAGCGCCTCGGGGTTCATCTGCTGGTAGCTGTTGGCCATCCAGTAGAGGTCCTCCAGGTG